CGCGACGAGGGTTAAGAATAAGAATAATTGAAATTGAAACGTCTTCAAGTAGGCCCCTTCTGGCGCCTTCCACCCCCTCCGCTCTTAAGCCGAAGACTACACATCAAAAGAAGAAAACCACACGAAAACCCTGCCGAGGAATCAAAAAGCGAATCAAGATTCAGAATCAAGAATGAAAGTCTCCTCCAACGAGAAGGCTTCAAGCACTTCCCCCCGCTCTCTTAAGTTGCACACGCCCACGTGTTGTGAGTGGTCACATCAAGACAAGAAGAATCTGCCGCGTTAGTAATCTGCCAAAATCCAAAAAGATAACTTGAACAGAAGCGCATTCCAACACGAAAGTGGTAAAAAAACCAAGAAAATAGTGAAACAATGGCTTCTAAAAACAAAAGAAAAGCAACACCAAACGTGTTGGCGACAGAACAACAGTTGCATTCCGCTGCCTGCAGCACTATTAAGGCTTATTAAGGGCGAGCACACAGCTGCCTTGGACAAGTTCCGACCTTCCAAACGGTCCTCCACCAGACGCTCCCCAAAGTCATTACAATCAATGACATGCGCAGCTGGACGAGATTCAGCCGCTGTGGGTGCAGGAATCAAACTTGCGACCCCAAAAATGGGACTGCTACATCAAGGCGCTTGCACTGCGGCACTTGCAGGTGCAATCTGGGCTGCTGGCTGTGCATCTGGACTGCTTGCTGAGCTGTGGCGAACCGAGCTGTGGCGAACGACAGGACAAACAGAGCCAAGTCCAAACAGTCAAAGTCCATGCCTTTCTCAGGTGAAAAACAGAGAGCGCAGCTCTCTGACTTCTCAGCAGGGACCCATGTGCGACATTCCTTGCTGTGCCTTGCTTCTGGTTGCTTTTCTGTTGTTAGAGGGCTGTTACTTTTCCCATAAAGGAACAGTCCGAACTGCACTTTTTGCTGTCACCGGTGGGAGCTGGAACGGATCGTGCAAGAGCGGCGGAATTTCCAGGAATCTGAACAGGACTTCTTGAGCTGTGCACAGGACCCAAAGTAAAAGCCTTCGAGGCTTCACTTTCGCGCTCGAGGCCTCCTGAGGCCAAAGGAAGATTTTTGACAGCGAAATGCACCTGGAGTCAAGTTGCAAAAGAGAGAAAAAAATTGAAGGAGATGAAGATACAACCTCCGTTTTGCAACAGCGGGGGAGTCTTGCAGTTAAGTGCATTTCTCATTGTCCGTAGCATCAGCCAACCTTCCCGATACCAACTCTCCTGGTGGCTGCAGTGCAAAGAGCTGTTGAGAGTTGGGTCAATGTCTGCAACTCGTTTCGTTTCGTTTTGCCAAACAGCTGCAAGGTGTTTCAAGCCAGTACAGCCTGCACTCGCGCTTTCAAGAAAACGTTGTCGCCTGAGATATACGCTTTTATTGCACACGACAGGAAAAGTCCGCGGGCATCACGAGTTTCACCAAGGTTAGAAGCCGGGCTGAAACAGCCGAAAAATCCGAAAACCTCTTCAAGATGTTTCGACTGGAGCCAAGTGCGATGTTCCAAGACAAACTGCATTTGCTGAATGCGCTTCTGCTCTTGGCTCAAGAAGAGCAACAAACAATCTAGCAAGAGCCAGGTGAGCCCATGTGAGCATAGGTTTTTGCAGTGTTCCGGAACCCTGGGTTCGAACACTTGGGAGGGCCCGGGGGGGCGGAGAACATAACACTAGAACTGAGGGCTGAACCCCAAGTTCGAACACCTGGAACCGGAGTTGAACTCCGGGTTCGAACACAGTGTTCAAACTCCGAGTTCGAACACTGGTGTTTGAACCCCAGGTTTTTGCGAAGAAAAAGAAAAAAAGAGAGAAGGAACAATCACCAGTGTTTGAACCCCGAGTTCAAACACTGGTGTTTAAACCCTCGAGTTCAAACACTGGTGTTCGAACCCCAGGTTCGAACACTAATGTTCGAACCTCGAGTTCGAACACCAGTGTTCGAACCCGGAGTTCAAACACTAGTAGTCACTAGTGTTCGAACCCTAGATTCGAACGAACCTCGAGTTCGAACACTGGTGTTCGAACACTGGTCTATAAAACGCTTTTACGAACACAAAAGAAGAGAAGCCACACGAAATCGCTTTATGGTGGCTTTTTGCGAAGAAAAAGAAAAAGAGAGAAGGAACATTCACCAGTGTTTGAACCCCGAGTTCAAACACTGGTGTTCGAACCCTCGAGTTCAAACACTGGTGTTCGAACCCAGAGTTCAAACACTGGTGTTCGAACCCCAGGTTCGAACACTAATGTTCGAACCTCGAGTTCGAACACCAGTGTTCGAACCCGGAGTTCAAACACTAGTGTTCGAACCCTAGATTCGAACACCAGTGTTCGAACCTCGAGTTCGAACACTGGTGTTCGAACACTGGTCTATGAAACGCTTTTATCAACACAAAAGAGGAGAAGCCGGACGAAATCGCTTTACGGGGGGGCTTTTTATGAAGAAAAGAAAAAGAGAAGGAACAAACACAAAAGAAGAGAAGCCACACGAAATCGCTTTATGGGGGCTTTTTGCGAAGAAAGAAAAAGAGAAGGAACATTCACCAGGGGAGGGAACCCCAAGTTCAAACACTGGTGTTCGAACCCTGGAGTTCAAACACTGGTATTCGAACCCCAGGTTCGAACCCAGAGTTCAAACACTGGTATTCGAACCCTCGGTTGGAACACCAGTGTTCGAACTCCGGGTTCGAACACCGGCCTCCAAGTGTTCAATCTGGAGTTGAACTGGAAGTTCCAATGTTCAACTTGGAGTTCAACTGGAAGTTGAACTTGGTGTTCGAATGAGAAGTTCGGAGACAACTACGGTGTTCGAACTCGAAGTTTAGGGCATTGAACACTGTGTTCGGGGACCTGAACTCGAAGTTCGGAACACTGTGTTCCCGAACTTGGAGTTCGAACACCCCCCAAAAACCTATGTAGGCCCATGTCGTGCATGAGCGGGTTTTAATTAAGCACCGTGCACAAATTCCGAACCATCACCCACACCTCTTAACACCATAACTCTGCACAGCTCAAGAAGTCCTGTTCAAATCTGGGGAGACACCTTCGTGGAATTTCCGCAGCTCTTGTACCCGTTCATGCATGCACTCCGGACTGTTCTTTGAAGGAACAGCAACAGCCGGTCTTGCAAATTTTTTTGGCGTAACTGTACAAAGAAAGATAATAACATGTGAGACGCGCCGCGACTAGCAGACTTAGCCGGCAGACGTCGTTCGGCAAAACATGCGCAAGCTTGCACTTGCAACTACACCGCTCAGATGCCCCGCTTCCCAGTCAACTGGGGTTGCGCAAGGTCTCGCCCGCACACCTTGCCACGTATGCAACCCTGCCCAGCTTCCCACACTGTGGGCCTTGCAAGGGCATGCGAAATCGCTTGAGCAAGGACCGACGGCCACCTATCACTGCCACAGCGCGCTGCCGGGCAGGATGTAGACCGTGGGAAAAACTTGTTGTGTGTCGAAACCCAGTGCAGCGCAAGCGGAGGAGCGCCTTGAGGTCCCAAGAGTGGGTTGCCCAAGTAGAGCGTCCACCCAGGAGTAACAAGGAGAGAGAAGAACCTCAACGACGTATGTCGTCGGTTACAGCGGCTCCAACAAGAAAGCATTGTCGGTCAGAGACGACCCGACCAGCTTTTGGGGGTCCGTCACACCAGACGACGAAACTGCGCCACAACAACCGGAAAGCGCAGCCAAGGCCCCCCCCTCCACTCCCCACTGCAAGGGTAAGCAGCGGCCAAAGGCAGCCATCGCGAAAGTGCACTCCGTCGCGTGCCAGAACAAGAGCAGCAAAGAGAATGAATGAACCTCAACGACGTATGTCGTCGGTTGCCGCGGCATCACCTGGAGACTCCTCAAGAGGTGAAGCGACGTGCCGCACGAGGTCCGTCACCACTTAGCTATACCAGACCATTGCCAGGTGTTCTGGCCGCAGAGCCTGCACTATCGGCGTCTATTCGAAAAGGCGGCAAATTCCGCCAGCCTTCCCAGTTGAGCCCGGTCTCGGCCAGGGTCATGTAGCCCTTGCGTACAGCAGGGACGGGAATCGACACAACGACGTATGTCGTCAGTCCCACGGTCGACAAAGGGCGGAGGTCACCTGGAGGAGCCAGCCGCTGCATCCTGCGGCCAGCTGTCGAGCATTCGTTGCATGTCACGACCGCTCGAAGGAAATTGACTCTCCTTCAGGAGATAGAGCAACTGATAGTTCTTTTATTTCCTGTTCCACAAACACATGGACGATATCATGAATATTCCTCTTCACGTCACTCCAATATATTTCAGAGAAAGAAATAAGAAATAAGATCGCAGTCACTCGCTCAGCAGCCTTCGTTTTGCTAGGATGATATTGCGCAATGCCGTGGGGTCGAAACGATCAAAGTTTGATATCTCCATCGGCCCCAAGGTCAAGCATCCAATGCAAGACACATGTGTCGATGAGATAAGTCGAGAACTTGCGCACCCGATCATACCCCGGGCGGGCGGGTGGGTAAAAAGAATTTTTCCTGCCCACTTGAGCAAGAAACCTTGCATTCGTATCGTCATTCAAATGCCCGTGTTCCTCAATGCTCATGCGTGAAAGTAAAAGAGCAAATCGTGAAAAGACGGAAATCTCATGAAAATCACCATGTTCAACCTTGTCGTAACACGACAACGGTTGTTGTGAAAAAGGAAATAAGGTGATAATCACAAGTGATGAAGTCACTTATTTCCTGTTCCACAAACACATGGACGATATCATGAATATTCCTCTTCACGTCACTCCAATATATTTCAGAGAAAGAAATAAGAAATAAGATCGCAGTCACTCGCTCAGCAGCCTTCGTTTTGCTAGGATGATATTGCGCAATGCCGTGGGGTCGAAACGATCAAAGTTTGATATCTCCATCGGCCCCAAGGTCAAGCATCCAATGCAAGACACATGCGTCGATGAGATAAGTCGAGAACTTGCGCACCCGATCATACCCCCAGCACTGTGCGCACATGTAGCCGTTCCTTCAAACAAGCAGCCTCTCACCACTAGTCTGCATCTGCTGAGCGCCTTGATTCAAGAGCCTTTTGCAGCAGTCGCGGCTTGGCTCGTCCGCTGGATTCGAGTGAGTCGGGACTCGCCCGAACCATGGCCTTGCCCGCCACCTGTGTTCAGCATCCAGGAAACGTTGGACCAGCTTCCTTCCATGATCCGTGCCCGAACGGCCCGCGATGAGTGCTGACTGAGCGGCTTCGTTATCAAGGAAAAAAACGGAAAAGGAATCCTCTAATAAGGGTCCCCAAATCTCAACTGCAACCAAGGCGGCATACAGTTCAACCTCATATATCGGATGATCAGAGGTTTCCTCAAGAGCCCGCAGATCGTCCTCGTTCACCTGTGCAGAGAAGAATGACAACGGCGTGCCAGTGCTGTCATAGAGGACGCCACCGATGCCGGCTCGCTTCTCAGCCGTGGGCTCATACGAGCCATCTGTAAAAACATACAGCTCACGCCCCGTCGTTTGCCTCAGCTCCAATGGCCTGGAATCCGCCACGTAGCGGAGCAAAGTTTGAATCGCCTCAGTCAGGTCGTCATTGAGCCTCGTGCATGAGTCCATACATTGTGCCCTCAAGGATATCTGTCTCATTGCCTCACACGGCGCACGACCGAAAAGATACGAAGTAAACCAGTGCATCCTTCCCCTCAAAACTTCCGCATCCTTAGGTCGGAGTACAGCATCACGTAAGATTCCCTCGAGTGTCTCCACCAGCTCAGCAGTACGTGCTTCCGTATGCCGAATGACGACCACCCCCTCATTGAATCTCGTCAAGTCATACTGCAATCCCAGGGCGGCAAAGGTGTAATCGAAGTCAGTGGCCTTCTTACCCTCCTTTGCGTATTGGATCCCCAGTGCGTCGAACACTTCTCCAGCCAATCCCCCAACCTGGTCTTCATGACCTTCAAGGGCCATCAAAGGAAAATCGTCAAAGTAGGCGCACCATCCCAGGCCAAGGTCCTGGATGCCCGTGTGCCATATCGCCGCCGAAACTCGCAGGAAACCCGCCACACTTCCGGTGGCACCGAAAGGAAGAACGTTGGTTCCATAAATCCTGACCATGCCAGAGTCGGTGTCATAGACCCCGATCCTCAAGTGACGCCTGTCTTGAGGGTGGATTGGATAGAATTTGTACGCAGAGACAAGATCAATGGTTTTCCCTTTGATCCTTTTGCCGGCAGCTTCAGGGCGGTTGAGCAACTCAATGAAAACTCCAGCAAGCACGTCCACTCCATGCAAGGTGAACTTCTCTGGTAGCCCACACGCCAAGTTGAGGCCACACTCCTTGCCGTTGTCGATCACACGAACTTTGTCCTTCTGCTGCAAGCCGAAACGATGGGCCAAGACTATGTCATCAAGATTTGCACTTTCTTCCCGAAAGATCCATCCCTTCTTCTCTTCCTCCACCGTTTCAGCCCACGCCTTGCGTGCCGTGATGTCAACAACAGTCTTCTGTAGCCTTTTCAAGGTCAACGGTGTTTGGTACTGGGATTGACTTAGCAGGTGCTCCAGCGATGTTTGCGGGGGACGGACTTTCTTGTCGAAGATTCCAGTGTCCCGCATCCAGCCAGTCAGTCTAAGTCCATCGCGCAGGTCGGACCAGAGTTGTTGGTCCGGGAAGCCATTGTCACCAAGAATACTTTTCCAGGCCAAAAGGTTCTTATCCCCTAACGCGGTCACAATGTAGTCCGGCTTGTGCTTCAACATGTTGTGATTCAAGGGCTTAGTCGTAGCCGCAATCTGACTCCAACGATCCTTGGTTTTTGAGGCAAGCCGCTCCCTCCGTTCGAAATCCATGAGGATGGCATCTGCAACTTTGGAGGAAGGTCCTTCCCGGCTCGCGTTCAAAGCATTCCTAGGATGTCCAGCCTTCACGGCATCCGCCACAAAGTCGCAAGGTTCTTTGGGTATTCCAACAGAAACAATCTCCGCATGCTCGGAGCACGGATCGTCTGCAGCAATGAAACCTGTTATCGCAACTGTCTCGTCATGCTTGAGGTGAGCCTCGCTTTGCACGACCATTGGTTGCCTGCTATTCTGGATGTGATGACTGGGCCATCCCTGTTCGATCCGATGATCTCACCTCCACGCTGCTGGCTTGCTACCCAAAGGGAGCGCGCATTATTCAACGCAAACTGGTATCCTGGGGTATGGTGCGGGTTTGCGTGCCTTCCAAATGCACAGGCATCGACCTGTCGTCGTTGCATTCCAAATACCCCCAACGGGTGAAAATCGCTGATTGTATTGAGGAGGACGTCGCTGCAAGTATACCTGGGAAAAAGGGCGCGGGTCGGGCGCAGCAAGCGCCAGTCCCCCAGCACGTGCGGCAATGATGTGGGCCATTCGTTCACAAAGCAGCACGGGATATGCAGCCTCATCGGCAGTCGGGAAAGAGGTAGCATGTGGCTGCAAACGAGGTTTCCAAGAAGCGTGCTGGTGGTCGCGTGAACATCGGAGAGCGAGAGGCTGAAACCAATCGGCAGAGCACCACAACAGGGTGGTTTTGTCACGTGTGCCACCATGCACGCAGGCATCGTAGACCACGGTGTGATGTGGTGAGCGGAACAGCTCGTCCAGGCCATCACACAACCACGCCAAAGAGTTGCGTGGGTTTTCCACGGTGACGAAGATGTTCAATTGTCGAGCCAGGTCAGCAATTTGCCCGACGGCACGGTAGAGCATATTGGCCTTCTGGACCCTTTCAAGATCTGCGCCAGTCAAAGTGGAGAGTCCTTGGGGTTCGGAAGTGCTGCGCAAAGGTTGCGGCACCCGAACACCAGCAGCAGTCAATTCTGGAATGGGTCTTGAGCGCGCCGCAGACGCGGTGCCACATGGCGGCGCACAATGGATCCAGACAATATTGGCCGCCTCAAGACGGATGATATCCAGAAGAATGCAAAGGTCGTCAGCATCGGTGAGGTCAAGACGTTGTATGGGGAAGCGTCCACGTGCGGTGGATTTATCGATTGCAAGCGTTCTGAAACCCAGTTTCTGACAGGCAGTGCTGAGCCGAGCCGTGCCTGCAAAGATCTCGATAACCAGCGGTGTGGCCTGTTGCGGAAAGGCCTCCTGCAAGCCAGTATGCGTGGAAGCAGATGCACTGGTGGATGGTCCGGCGTCAGGCGAACCTAGAGGTTTTAGGGAGGGGCAGGCGGCGGGTTTAGGGCCAACTAGGGGTCGGTAGGCAACCTTGGGCCGCTTGGGCGGTGGCACGGGGAGCACAGCGTCTGAGGCCGATCCGGACTCAACTTGAGGCAGGAGGAAACGAGCATCAAGGAGTCGAACACGATGTGCCTCGGACAGGAGGCCAGTGTCACGAATGCAGAATCCAACAATCAACAAGCGAGTACCGTCCCAGTCACAAGTTGCGTGCAGCCTCTCTGAAGGAAGCAACTGTGGGCCGTCAGCAACAGGCAGCAAGTAGCCCAGACGCGGCACGTCGGGGTCGGGGCACGGACACTCGCCTTTACCCTCAACCCAAATCTGGCCTTTGTGGAAAACAGAGGCAGGCAAGATCAGGTTGGGATGGGCATGATCGTTGTTGGCGTCGTTGTGCAGAGGCGCCTTTAAATTCAAGAAAAGTCCAACAGATGAGAAGCAGCGAAAGCCAAAAGACGCCGACAAGACGGCGGCCAAAAGCATGGTACTGAAAGGAAAGGCGTGAAAATTACAGCGCAGTCCGGCCTTGGCTTGATGGACATATGCGCCGGATGTGAAAGATTTGGGAGCTGTCGGGTCCACAGATTCTTCTGACGGGGCACCGGCAGTGTCTGCAGGGAGCAAAGCGATCAAGCTCCGAAAATCGTCATGACTAGCAAAACCGGCCTGTAGGCATTGCAATGCTATCGCCTCCGCGGGTGCCAACACGTCGGCAACCTCAGAAGTGGCAGCAGGGGGAAAATGAAAGCCCACTGAGTGTGGGCCATAGCCAGAAATGGCAGCCGCCTCAACAGGCGGAGCTGAGGTGTCGAGATCTGTTTGTCACTCGGATTTACCCTTGCCGGATCCCTTCCAAGTGCGAGCTCGGCAATTACGGAAGGAGTGGCCCACACGGCGACAGTAAGCACAAACATGGACACCCCGAGGGCAGCGCGGTGGGTCTCCCTCAGTCTTGGCCTTGCAGCCGGCACAATTATGGTCCCAACAGATGGGCTTGCCGTCCTCGGTTTTCTGGTGAGCGTCCTTAAGTTCGGCCGGCATGGTGCGTGCCTTTGTAGCCTGTGCAGCAGTAGCCTGGGCGCCTGTGCTCCGTCCTGGTGTCGTATGCTTGGCAGCGGTAGCCGCCTCTTTTGCACGGCGACGGCGCTTGGCGGCTCGGGACAGTCCTTCACCTGGTTTGGCAGGGGAGCCTTGCTCAAGGTCTTGAACCTTAACATCCGGTGCACGGCCCCAGGTAGCCATCAAGTACATGGTGATCCGAGGGTCTGTCCTCAAAGCATCCAAAGCCTTACCCAGAGGGTACTCGCCAGCGGTACTGGGCTTAAGCGATGGCACCTCGGACGCCATGATCAACCAGGCTTCACGATCGGCCTGCACAATGCGGTTCATATCAGGCTTGTGGAACCCTGGAGGGCACTCCTTAGTCAGTGCGTGAAGCAAGCAGTGAACCCAACGCTCATGCTGGGCCCACGTCAGTACCTTAGCCTGGTCCAAGGCCAGACCGCGGCGCTGAAGGCACCACTGCAACTTGATCGGCGAATCATAAGAAGCAATGTCCTTGGGCTGTTCACTTCCGACCTTCAAGGAGTTGTCCTCAAGTCGAAAGATTTTGCTTTGGTCCTTCGTTGAAAGCTGAATTTCTGATTCGCGGCTGGTGCATTTGCCTGGCGATATCCAAGTGATGCCCACATCATGCATGTGACAACAGAGGTCCACCAGAGCATGGGAAGGGACCAAATCACGCTCTATATGCACCCCACTAAGCCGACGGCGCTGATCTTCGGCCCTGGCCTGTTTTTCAGCAAGTGGAAGCTTTCGAGGCTGTTCGGCAGAGTCCCCTTGCACAGCTTGACGCGACTGAGCTATGACATATGTGGCGGACTCGAACATCAATCGCTTCAAGATAGACACATCCCCCAAACGAGGAGCAGCCCCCAAGATCTTTACTGCAAATGCGTCCATTTCCGCCTGTGTGGGTCGATCCTGAGGCGTGCCACAGGAATATGCAAGCGAGGCAAAGGAAGTGATCCCTTGGTCAGACAGTGCGGTGTGAATTGCACCCCCGCCGACGTCTTGACATCGCTGCCGAAATGAAGCCTCACTGTCAACCAGCGACATGTTGCCCCCTAAAGGCGGCTCGAGCACCAAGTCAGCTGAGAAGTCAGGGCTGTGTTCCACTCACGTAACATGACCGGCACACCAGATGACCCCCAACACACAAGCATCACGCTCGGCCCCGCAAGGCGAACTAGTGACTGTCCGCCACTGCCTTCTTGCAGTTGCGACACACTGATGAGTCAAACCTGATTCGCTGTGGAAGACTGTACAAGTCGCTAACCATCCGCCCACACATCAGTACGCGGCGGTTGTTGTCAGCAATCATGTGCAGCAAGCGAGTTCTCTGATGCTGTAAAAATGTTGTGCCTTCCGCAGGCTCCGGCGGCGGCATAATCCGGGCCGGTTCGTCATCGCTTCCGGAGCTATCACTTGAATCACTTGATCCACTCGAACTAGAAGAATCGGAATCCTTGCCGACAAGTTTGTCGTCTTCTGCACCCAAAGAGGACACACCGCCGTCACCCACCTCAGCTTCGGGTGGCTCATCAGCAGAATCCTGCCCCATAAGGTTCGCGTCATCATCGCCCGGAAAGAAGACGTCTGGCTGGCTCGGTGCTCCCTTATCAAGCGCGTCGACCAAGCCAAACATGTCGTCGTCGCCCGTCACCCTCTCCCAGGACTCAGCAGAGGGAGGGTGGCGATCATCCGTCTGTGCAGCGAAACCCAATCGAAGCTCTTCCAAGCCACTCCCGCGCAAATAACCCGCACGACCAGCATCTGGATCAAAGACACCCTCTCGGATCTCTGAGATCAAGGCCATGAGCAGGCGGAGGGGCCGGGCCAACTCGTCATCGCCATAAGTGTCAGCCATCCCGGCCGAGTTTGCGTGTCCACCCAGAACCAACCGGTCCAAGTGTTCCACGCCACGCTTTGTCGCCATGGTAAGGAAAGTCCTCTTCAGCGTGTGGCCAGATGTTCTGAGTGATCCACGGTCGACGAAGATCTTCTGAAGCCATAAAGACATCTCCTCAGTGGTCACGGACGCACCGGTAGGTTCTCCTGCAGGGCCTGGCGTAGGCAAGGGTGGAACGAACTCTGTAAGTCCCACCTCCATTCGAGCCTCGTGCCACAAATCGAGCCAGTTTGGCCCAGCGATACCTCGTCCAGGAGCGATCATCCGAAGCGGTGCACCCGCAAAGAATTTAGAGTTGACTGTTTTGTAATCCTCACAAGTAAATTCCAGGAAGAGCCTCTCACCATCAGCCCCGTATTCCAGCCCACACGAGATAGAGTGCTGAAAATCGGACCAACGGGATCGCATGTACGCGCAGCACAAAGCTGCTCCCGCGAAAACTCGATCCCAAGCGGGGACACTCTTGTCCCCCAACATGGAGTGGAGCAGCCTCAAGTTCTTCAAGGTCAAAGGGTCTGCCCTCTGGCGCGCCTTCCGCCGTGCACCCCTCGATGCTGCACCAAGACACCGCCTGCTGGATATCACGTTCTCAATCTCCTCAACTGAGAAGACATGTCGAACAAAGATCAACGCCTCACGAAGCGCACGCATCTGTGCTGGCTTCGCTCCGCCAGCTCTGGCTGCAACCATGTGCTTGTAAACATTGCCCTCTTCATACGGAAAAGTCTCGTCGGACCATCCCTCACTTTTGTGAAAACGAAGCAGAGAGTTAACACGCTTAAGCAGCGTACTCGGAGCTTTTGGATGCAACCAATCCCGAAGAACTTCCGTACGTTCTTCTGCGGTAGCACACTCAAGCAGACTCTTGCAGATCAAGAGGTCCGGGCGAAGATCGGCCCACCTCAAGATAACAAAGGTCCATCGAGCCATGGCCTTGTCGTGGTCCTTGTCGCGCTGATCTTGCCAAGATATGCCGTGGCTTTTACGTACCACCGAAAAACACACTCCAGGAACGAGGCCACTTTCTCTAAGACGCCTCTTCTTTTCCGAAGGTGGGAGAATTTCCTCGGGATCATCTGGCACAGGGAGGTCAGGCAGCATAAAAGTGTCTTCCCAACCCACCACATCGCTAGGCTCGAAGATGCTCTTGAACACACCGTGTTCCCAGGGCAATTCCGCGGGCTGTCTAGCATCGCTAGCACAAGCATCCACAGCCGCACTCAGCAAAGCTTCGAAGTCTATCCTTGGGCCCTGATCGCTCGAGCACCCGTTACTCGCCCCCTGCATTGTGCTCGAGTCGTGAGCGCAGCGAGTCCACTGCACCCGGAGGTCACAGGACGCGCAGGCCAGCACTCTCGGCCATGCAAGTGCAAGCACAGGAGCAAGTCGGCGGACGTGCGATTGCAGCAGAGGCAAGCAGCCTGCTAGCAGCCAAAACTACGTGACAGGCCATAGTCAGCGACTCTCGTCTGCAAAGAAGCAGCACTAAGGTCACCAGCACAGGCACGACAAGTTGGGGCCACAGCAATGCAGCTTAATTTTGCCATCAGCAGACACGACCGGCTTCGAAAGTGAGGTGATTCAGCTGGACCCATCGTGTGGGCACAGAGCTGGGGCTAAAGCGGCCTCCAAACGATCAAGACGCAAAGCTGTACTCATCGCAGTCTCGGCGGCCACACGTGTGAGCTCATCAAGACGTGAATGCAGAGTCCTGAGGGAGGCCCTGGTATCCAAAACAAACTCGGAAATCGCAGAAAAAGGAGAACTGGACTCTTGGCTAGCCAGCAAGGTATTCATCAGATGAGTGCGTCCCAAGCAGAGGTTGTCAACTCTGTGCCCCAGAGACTCACAGTCACTGCGGAGACAGCAAATGTGGCGCAGCAACCCCGAGGGGCTGAGGTCCCGTGCCCGTTCCCCGGCAGCATTGGAGTGTTCGGTCGCATCGCGATTCGAGTCCCTGGACCTCGAACGCTCACGCGCACGACTTGCCCTGGCAGAAGCAAAAGGCGGGCCAGTCTGTGCACGCTGACGTTCGGCCTCCCGAACGGCAAAGAGGGCCTCCTGGAGATCTCGCAAGAACTGAATCTGGGACCCCGTCAGCACGTCCATCGATGAGGGAGCCGAACCCGCAGTAAAGAACCTAAAGGCGTAGGGTCCTTGCGAAAACTGAAAGATCAGCGGCACAGACAGCGCGCTATGACATGTGAGTGGCATGCCGGTCAAAGTCAAAGTGCACAGACCAGTTGTGGAGAACCACACCGCAAGGCACTGAAACATGCGACACATGTTGCACAACGCGCAGCAAGTTGAGTGTTTTGCCACTGCTGAGCGGGCCACGATCTGAGCTGGAACACCAGAGCTACAGCAGGAGATCTGCAATCAGGCGCCGATGCTATGCAGACAGCTAGCGCATGAAGTGAGGCTGACTCTGAGGTGTGGACTCGACCAGCCCTGCTTGGAACCACAGCGAACTGCAAATTATCTGTCAAGCATGGCAAAAGGGCCTGTTGTGAGCAAGAGCAACAAAACTAATCGCGGGGCTCACTGTGGCGAGAGCAAGCCTGGCACTCGTCAAAAGCCTCCTCGATGTCCGTGGCACGACCCTCCAGAACGGAGAGACGCTCGGAAGTCTCGGTGCGAAAGACGTGAAAGCTCTCCTGCAGCATGTGCACCTGAAAGATTATGGCAGCCAGGTCTTCGGCAATCTGGCTGAGCTGAGAGTTCAGCCGCCCTTCAGAAGCGCGAAGATCATGCTGGCCGACGACATCTGCAGGACAAGAGGGAACAGGTGGAGTCTCCTCAACGACCACCTCCTCATAAGACGAGGAGTCATCCATGTCTTGAGACGCAACACTCTCAGAGGCATCCATCTGAGCTGACAGCACGAGTGCAACCCACCCGCCCCTAAAAAGAATTTTTCCTGCCCACTTGAGCAAGAAACCTTGAGCCAAAATGGCCCACGTGAGCAAGAAACCTTGCATTCGCATCGTCATTCAAATGCCCGTGTTCCTCAATGCTCATGCGTGAAAGTAAAAGAGCAAATCGTGAAAAGACGGAAATCTCATGAAAATCACCATGTTCAACCTTGTCGTAACACGACAACGGTTGTTGTGAAAAAGGAAATAAGGTGATAATCACAAGTGATGAAGTCACCTCCTTGTAGATTTCCATCAGACGAGTAAATGAATACTGATGGTTGTCATGGTCTTCGCAATGGAGATGTGGCATTAACTCGGTGGAGATGCAGGGAAATTGGAGGCCGGGCCCCAGGCCTCCTTCCCTGCGAAACTCCTCCGCCGCAACCTTCCAGCGGCCCTGCGCCCTAGGGTGCCCCAACCTGAACCAGGGGCGTTCGCCATTTGGCAGTGACTGCGCCTGGTTCTCCTCTTGGGCGACTAACCGCTGAAGGAGGACCATCGCTTTGGCCTCAACAGCGGCGAGATGCGCAAAGCGCCATAAGCGGGTCGGAAAGTAAAACTTCTTCTTTTGTGGCCCGCGTATCCAGTAGGCCACGACCGCACGGAGATCCCATCCTTCGGAGGTTGCCGCAGCACGAAGTCGCCACAGGGCGCTATGAAGTAGGCCCGCAGCCTGAATCGCTAGAGACGGTTGAGCTTGTAACCCCAGTGAGATGTCCGCAAGTGGGAAAAGGAGTCGAAAGGTGCCGCGATAGGAGCCCGGATACGTGAACATGCGTGGGTCAAACTCGCCGCGTCTGGCCGGCAGGATTCCATCCTCGAAGCCCGCCATCAGGCGGTCAGCAATGGCAATCTGGGGACGGCCCACCAAGGCAGCGGGAACCTTGCAAGTGATTCGCACCTCAATGTGCTGGCCGTCACGGGTTGGGGTGACGTTGGTGAGCTGCAGAAGTGGAGCGGCCGTAGGGTCGTCAGCTAGCGCTCGGGTGAGAAAGAACAGCAGCTGTACTGGCAGCAACACACCGCAGTGCAGCAGTGGTGTTCCCTGCGTCGCCTCAACACTCGTGCTGCCTCCCCCAGTAGTGCGCCGCTGGCTGGAACCAGCGCCCCGCCGGCTATTTGTCGGCAAGGGGTCTGGCTTGGCGGTGGGGTCTCGCTTAGGAGCCAAGGACATTTGCACCAGGCTGCCGTCCCGGACTGGGGACTTCCGTCCCGCCAGAGCACGAGGAAGCGATCCCTTGAGTCCTGCAAACTCATCAAGGAGCAGCCACCACCAAATCTCAGGGCGGGCAAGTTCATACCAGGAAAGGTCGAAAACCTGTCCTTCAGGCAGGCGCAGGACAGGGTCACAAGACTGAGCCAATGCGACAGACACGGCAAGCAGGGGCGTCAAGCAGACGCGAAAGGCTTCACTATCAGTGCAACGTCGCAACATGAGGGCCCGGTCGGCGAAATCCACTACCTTCACCCCAAAATTCTGGGGGCTGAGTTTGACTTCGCAAGCAGGCAGAGACAGGGGGAGAGAAAGCAGGGTCAGACAGTCGGTGGGGTTGGGCAGCAATTGTTGCAGTGCCCCGACACATTCTATTCCATCGACAGGCTGCTGTAGTCGGCCCCGAGCTTGGTAGTGCCGAAGGGTGTCATGTTGCTCATCGAATTCGTCTTCGTCTTCTGCCGGTACACACCGGCTGGCAATTGAGGAAACTCCCGGCACTAGACGACAAGGCGGGGTCTCCACTGCGTCCAATAAGGCCGCTACTCGTTGGCTCCATGAAGCGCTAGGTGCAATGGGGAGGGAGACAGCACAGCTTTGACTGCGCAGCTCTGCAGTCAGTGCCGGATCCTCTTTGGCAGGCACTCCCGTGTCTGGATCAGGGCGGACCTTTCCCGCAGGGTCATAGAGGGCGCGTGGCAGGCCCGTAGTAGCAACCGGCGGCAGCAAGACCGATTCAGGGCAAGAATGGTGTACCTGCGACGACACGAAGCGCTGCAGCCTCCCAAGCAGCGTCGTATTGATCGTATCAGAGGCAATGGCATAAAGGTAAAACGCCCCCGGAACAGCGGTGACCATCGACTCCGATGTGCTCGCTTGGCCCCGGCACACGGTCGCTGTCGTCGCGAGAGTCATGTGCGTCCCGATGAGAGACCTGTGGTGTGTGGAGCGGAGTGCACTGTATAGCCTTTTGGGGGGAGGTACACCCTCGCCCTTGTGCTCACGAAGGCGATGGAGACCAAACCTCGGCGGTGTAGTAAACTCCAGCAGTCCGAAGACTGGGCGATCGGTGTCGATTACCGGATAAAATGGACGTGCCGTGATGGAGTGGCCACGCGGTCCACTGTGCTCAAAATCCACGCCCCGGAGGAGGAGCTGGACCGGGTAACCATCCACGCCACTGTGTGCAGCAACGGCTGTAGCATCGCAAAGCGGAGGAACACGGTTCACGGACCACCGTTCATAGAACTCCTGGGCGGTCTCCCGATCCGCGCGCGGGGGGCTGGATAGCCCAAGCCTGGCGAACCCATAAGTACGGTACAGATCGTCCCATCTGACGTGGGTGTGATGGAGGACGGCATGTAGCTCCAAGGCAGCGACAATGCCCCACCAATAAGAGAGGGAGGCGATGATCAGTGGGCCCGTGGGCCGTGTACTGCCTGCCGTGAGCCGTTGGTGGGCGTCTTCCCCCGACATGGTAAAGCGTCCCGCCTTGTCGACAATACAGATGTCGACCGCCCCGGTGGTGCCAGCACACACCGTGGTGGTGAAGAGGTCCACAAAGGCGCCGAGTTCGTTGTGATGGTCATAAAAGAAGGTAAAGAGGGATGAGGCCTGCTCCTGGGTTGTGAGTTGCCCCGGAGGAGGGAGCTCTGGAAGCCATTCCGAAATGAAATCCGCAAAGGAGGTGCCCTCAGCCACGACCCTGTGCGCGTTACCTGTGTCGGCGTTGGCGGGGCGCGCATTGCTGAGGCCAAGACCATGCTTGAGGGAGTCAAACACCCTAGTGGTTGGTGTGACGACCGTGATTTTCCTTCCGGCCTGGACAGCAAAACGATGCCCGCAGACATTGTAAGCGAGGACCAGAAGGACACAGAGCAATTCCACGAGGCCACCCTGGTGCATGGTCGAGGATGTCTGCTTCGGTAGTCGGATGAAGTACACTCCCGGCTGATGGGAGCCATCCGCCGCAACACGCTGAAGTCGCCGTGCAGCGGTATCCGCTGCCAGTTCGCCGATGGTAACCGGGCACGGAGAGACGTCAGAGGCCTTGTGCATGACGATGGATTGTGGGTACCGGACGGCGGTAATAAGCAGGTAAAGATCGGCCAGCAACCTGGTGGAGGCAACCAGGGCCAAGTTCAAGCAAACCCCATTAATAGGGGCGAGGCCCTCAGCTTGCAGAGCTGTATTGGCCGGTGCAAGTATTGCTCCGACGGCCGACAGACGGTTGAGGTAACACAGGATCGCTTCACTATGGGACGCTGACTGGTGGAGGAAATCCACCGCAATAGCCGCTGGCGTGAGGCGGCCGGGGTGTGGACACAGTCGATCGCCTATTTTGGTGATGCCGGAATAAGGGATGAAGTATTTCAGCCCTTGTCGGGTTACCCGACATCCGCGGAGCTCCCGAAGATCCAAGTCAAGACTTACCTCAACTTCGTCCTCAAGTCCAAAGAGGCATTCCGACAACTCCCGGCAGACGGCGAGACTGGTGCCCGGCGGCGGCTCAGCGCCCTGGTGGCCATTGTGGCGATGTCCCAGGCTAGTCCACCTGACTGTGTGCAGTGGTCCCAGCGGGGTAGACTGCACCAAGCCTCGCAGTGCCGCGGCGAGTCGCCCCGGAGACACTGGCTGCGGGGCCAGCTGGGCGACTCCACGGATGCCAACGGGCTTGGCGATGAGTCGGGCCAACGTGTTCAGTTGAACCTCACCTTTGCCGCCTCCAGCAGGTTGTCGTGGGTCGCCCGTGCGGATGACAAGCTGGCCAGCTGCATTAGCAAGGATGGCAGCCGATGCAGGCTGTCCCTCCTGTTGCCCCTCATCAATGACGATGACATGCGCGTTGTTGAGGAAAGTCTTAACCTCACTGTAGGAGGCATATCGCAGCTGCAGCGCGGCCGACCCCTGCGTGAGCAGCAGCATGTGAGCACTACTGACTGAAGGGGAGGCAAGACGCGCACTGCGCCCCGTTACTC